TCATGAAATTACAAGTGTGAATCCTTCTGTGTGCATGGTGTGGTATTATGAGACTGTTCTGAGCCCATACATGTCTTCCGAGTCACTTCCTTCAAGAAGCAAGGCAAGAAATCCTTCCTGGCATTCGGAAAACGAAGAGTGAACAGCTAGCAAGTGTGCGGTTGGTGCGTCATATGAGAGGCCCCGCTTACATTTTCCGCCACAGATTTGGGGAATTGGTCCGTGCGCAAGGCAATGTGGGATTTGAAGAACGCGAAGTCTACCCATGTGCAGCCTCGAAATTACCCCAAACCCAAGGACGCGGCCTCGGTGGAGATTGGAAACAGTCCCTTCGGCTGCCACTCGATTTGACGTAGTATCCTTGAAATATTTGGTTTGGAAAGCCAGTTTCCTCACCGATTGAGAAACGGCCGGTGTGTCTCGATCGATTTCCGGGTCAAGTCATGGGAGGAGAGAGGAGTCCAGAAGCCTCATCCCAAATACCCTCCTCGACTCCTCTCTCTTCCCCTCCTCCGGGACTTGACCCGGAAATCGATCACGACACGCCATTTTGAAGGACGTCCCAATAGCTGCACACGGAGGAGTCGAGGAGAGTGAGGGAGGAAGGGTGCGGGAGGAGACGAAAGGGAGGGATAACATGCGAGCAGACTAGCGGAAGTGTTTTCACTACTCGCGTATTAAAAGCCCCGCCCCCACCTTCACAGCTGGTCGATTTCAACAGAGGAAACTGACAACTGGAAGATGAGTGGAAAAGCGTCACATAATGTATAAATGTCACAGGATCCGTGGGATTATTTGTGCAATTCATTTCTAAAAGGCTTTCACACTACTATAATTATAGTTTTATTTAAACGTAGGCTACATTTTACACCAAAACGGAACACAAAAGCAGGACCAAGCATCATACATTGAATTCCTTGACTAACAAGAGAAAGATTCATTAATTTAAATAAATATTTAACCAGAAATGGGCCGGTTCTTAAGTGTTATTCAGTTAAGCCCGATGAGAGGGGATACAGCTGTGCACATGTCATCATTAACAGACGTCGTTTAAGAGTGACGTTTGAGTGAACGAGGACATCCCAATTAATACCTGAGGACTCCTCTGTCCTCGCGTCACCTCCTCGTGTCTCTCGCTCGCATCTTACGGAGGCGGAGCTAAGATGCAAGGAAGGGACGTGAGTGAGGGAAAGGAGGAGTCGAGGAGGGGTATTGGGATGAGGCTCAGGAGGGACATCTGGATGAAGCTCCTGTTTGTCTTCATCTGCTGTTCCCTTTAGGGTTCACTTTCCGTCTATCTTCTTCTGCTCCAGCCTCAAGTCAACTCTCTGCAGCCTTGATAGGTGCAGTTTATGCAAAATCATTTAGATCAAAGCCAAAGAAAACAGCGTTAAAGTTTATTTTACCCATCACTATCACCAATTGTAATTTATTTATTTCTGAATAGAAGAGGCGGCAGTTTCTTTCTTTCTTTTTTTCCGACTAAAGAGCAAAACCAATTCATCAAATGTCTTTATCCTCTCAGTGAAAGGTTTAACATTGTGTTGTGGGAGCTGTCTCTAATACTTGATCAACATTTTATTACCTGTAGAACATTTCCCCATTTTAACCTCCAATATTAAAAACTCACTTCTTAAATTTGGTCCTTGTAATTCAAGCTTTCAGTAATAACTTCTGTTGATCACTTAGCCTCGCTTTTTATTCTAAGTAAAATCAATGTGTCCGCATCTCTTCTGACGAGTAGCAGAAAATGTTTACAGGCGCAAGTAAAAAGATCGAGCTGGATACATAGAGGTGATTATAGAAAGACAAATGTATCGCAGAAAATTGGAAAGCGCATAAAAAATAAACAGCAGGTGAATCAATAAGAACAAATATTTCCCTGCTTTTGGATTATGATTATAGGACAATTTCTACCTAGCGGCCACTTTTCTCAGTTTTATAATGTTTTTACGTTTATTTTATTACTGCAGGAGCTAAGCTTTAATAGCACTTACTCCTTCTTTAAAATGTTTGTTATAAGACATGCAGGTTTTTCAGTTTCCTATTACATTATTATAATAAAAATAACTAGGCAATAACAAGTTTAGTCCAATTAGTTTAATCCATGGACTTAACCTTGTTAAAAAATCCTCCCCTTGAAATAATGTGTGTGTGTATATATATATTATATATACAATTATTTTTATATTTTTTATTTAAATACATCCAAATATCATGGGAGTGGTGTTGATATGTGGTGATGATTTTATAATTTTTTTTATTCTTATACGTTGGGGGAAAAACCACTTTCAAGGTTGTTGTTTTTTTTGTTTTCTTTACATTTATGTAAAAAAACTAAGATTTAGATTTGGCTGGTAAATTAATTTATGTTGTAAAATGTAAATCCATTTGTATGTAAATATATTGTTATTGGTATTATTATTTATTTCTATATGTTTTATATCCAAATATGAGTGAACATAAATGTCGAAAGTGTGCAAAAAACGACATTGTAGTCAAATAATGTAAAAAAAGAATGACTTAGAACAGTCTGTACATTTAAAAAAGAACATAGAATAGTATGTCGAAAATATCAGAAAAAATATTAAATAAAAAGTGGGAAAAAATAAGGAATAGTTTTATTAGTTTCACATTAGCAATTTTATTTATTACATTTTTTTTTTAAATAACTAAATTAAATAAGTATTATGAACCTAAAGTTGGCTCAACTCAATACAAATAACTATTATCAACTTAAAGGTGGGGTAGGTAATTTTGGAGCAATCAGCTCGAGTGCGCTAGAATTTGAAAATACACAGCCGGAAAAAATCTGCCACTTCCTTACAGAGCCCCTCCTCCAACACACACGAACGCGCACATGACCAATGAGGGCACGAGATGAGTTTGTGCACAGATGGAAGGCAGGCAGGTAGGCCATCCAGTTGTTTTAGCCGGGCCGGCTCAAATGATTGGTCGTACTTTTTACAGTTCTAAGATACTTAAGAACTTAAGATATTCATTGCTATCGGGATGTTAAGAGCATTCCATGGAATATAACTAAAAGTGTATCTCGAGCCGGTTTCTCAAACGTACCTACCCCACCTTTAATAAAAGATAATTGGTTCAATATTTTTTTTTTATAAAAGTAATACAAAATAAATAAATAATTATCTTAATTTGTATAATATTTACCAACAACTCAATAAAATAACTATTATAACATACAATAAAATAGTTAGTTGAGCTTCATTGAATAACTTTTGACAACACTGATTAACAAAATTAAAATGGATGACTCACAGGAGTGCATTTCTTTTTTCTAAAGCTTTCTGCCCTCCTGCTTATTAATTGAGTTTTCTGGTACCTTGTCTGCATTAATTGTCTGTATTAATATTGAATTATAAGAATACATTATATGAGTAATTATTAAAAAGCTAAATCAGATCAGAAAATGTGTTTACACAAGTTAAAGTAACTTTTTCCCTTCAGCCTGTTGCACCAGGCTCCTGCTCATGGTTACCGTTCTCTCGCTCTGATTGGTTTCCCCTGGTTTCAGCCATTTAGCAGATTAAACACTGAGCAGGAGAGGAGTTGGGAAAGCAGACCCTCACCCCCCCCGAAGTCAACCTGCTGCCTGACGTCTTTTGTTTTTCTGGGCAAATCAGACGGCCTGTGGGGGAATTAACTGATGAGATCGGGCTGGTTGCTGTAGAAACATCACATATTATAAGTCCGGACTGCAGCTACTCTTCACAGGAAACAGTGGTGTGCAAACACACAAGTAATGCCAGGTTTTATTTTCTCTGCAATCACTTCCTGCTGCCGGATGCTTCTCTACCTTCCTCTACAGTAAGTTATGACGTTATGAAGAGAATTGGACAAGAAATGAAATGTTTCTGCAGAAATGCTGTGTCATATTGATCGGATGTCGTGTTGCTGGCCCCTGGTGGCTCAGGCTCACAGTGTGCTCAGAATATATCCGAGTGATTTCACCTGTCCGGTTGAGGGAGTGTAAACCTTTATTCAATGCATAAAAGGTTTATGTGGAGCTCTGTAATGGAGTTTATATTGCTGATGATAGAGCTGTACCTACTGCCAACAAAGCAAAACAAAACTACTTCCCATTAAGATAAATTGTTCTTCTTTTAAATTAGAGTGATTGAAAACAAATGGATCCTCCCTTCAAGACATTCTTTACACAAATATAGTTCCTGTATGATCAACCTACAAGAAGGGGAGGCTAAAAGTGATTCAATTAAAAAATGCATTTATACATTTGAAGGCTCTGCTGTTTATTTATGAGTCGGAGCACGTCTTTGTTTCAGGAGATGGACGTCAGGCTCCCTCTTCATCCTGAGAGGAGGCAGTGTTGTCATGCAGAGCTCACATCTCTATCAGCCATCAATGCCCTCTGAAAAGTGTGTGCATCCCCCTCTTCCACTACAACCTCTCAGTATAAAGTGCACTGCTGATTCTTTTTTGCACAATGTAAACAAACACTGTCTCTCTGATACGGTGGCCAACAGGTGCAAACACAATGTCCGAAAATACTTCCCTTACCTTAGGGGAATTGGCTGCAGCTTCAGAAAGGATGCAAATTAAATAATACCTTCACCTAATTGACAACACATTCGCTGCGTTTACTAAAAGTGCTGCAAACACGAAACGATGAAACAACTAAAAGCTGTAAGAAGTTCTAAACATGATAACCAGGAGACACTAAAAAAGTGAAAAAGCTGGGATCGTAGCGCTTGTTGACGTTCTGGGCTCTTTTAGTAAACGCTGCACACGTTTCATCAGGTTGATGAATGTTTTCTAAATGCAGCACATGTACAGTAATGTCAAGCTACTGAAGATGTTTCTTCATTTGTGTGTGTTTTTGCACATTTTTTAACTTCAGCGTGTTTCTTCTAATGAAAATGTTTTGGGTTGCATTGGCACCTGTTGGCCACCGTACACTTCTCCTCTTTCTGTGCAGGCAGAGTAAACCAGAGTTTGACGGAGACAGAAAGTTGGAGTCACCTTCTGCTGTTGGAACCGTGACATGGAGGGCCAAAGAGAGGGCAGTGAGGCTCAGCGGGGCCCCTGTGAGCTTGGCCTCGGGACAGATGGCAGGTGCGGACCCTTGGACCTGTTAATGAGCAGGTCGTGCCAAGTGGTGTAGGACACGGGGACAAAGGTCAAACTACTGAGCTGGATATCAGGGGGACGCCACGTCCGTCTGCTAACATGCAGAAACTAAAAGTCTTCACAAGATTTTTACGAAATATTAAAAGGGTGGGAAATGTATATTGTCAGCTAATTTAAAGCTTACTTAATGAAGCATCTCCAATTAATTTTCCGTCCTCAAACAAAAGTTTATCGGTTAAATGATGAGCGAAATGATAGCAGAGTTTGTGGTGTGACGGGCCGTATAAAACTGTCTAAAGAAGGAATTATGCAGAAGCAGGTGATGTTTAATGACACTCACAAAGAATACATCGAGAACTTCAACATGCAGACCCTTTCTTTTCATTGTAGTTGCTGCAGGAAGGCATCTCTTTATTCGCAGTTTGGACAGGAGGATCACATTGACAAATACTCTGCAATAAACATTTACCATGTGAGTACTGGTGAGTTAGTATAGCACATGTTTTCTTTGAGAAAAGCTAAGAATAAAACTAGAGAATCTTAGGAGTTTGAGAAAAATAGTCAGATCCAGAACACATAACTTGAACTTCCCATTATTTTTTATATAAAGTGGATTTTGGGATTTGGCATCATGTCTGTGTGAGAAACATTAAAGTGTGTAAACTGCAGAGGGAGTAACATGTTCACACCTTCGATTAGTCTGGCTGAAACTTTGATTGGCTCCATGGAGGCGTTGAAACACATCCAGATTGATGTATCATGTTTTAATAACCTTATCTTTGACCCTTGTATTCTTTCAATATCTGCAATGTATGTATCTGTTAATATTCATATGTTTATCACTCAGATAGAAATGCAAATTTCTCATCTGCAATTCTGATTGGGAAAGAAAATAATTGCGGGTTATTTCAGGTCCTGCCGGAGCTAACACACTCTTCGTTTTGCTCTCATTTGTGCCGCCTCTCATTTTCAGAGATCATGATCTGCATCAGCTATCGATCTGACGCTGGAGCTGTTTTATGTGAAGCCAACACTTCAGCACGGTGTGAAGAGGCAGAGACAGGCGGCATCCTGGGAGCTCATTTGTAAAGCGTACAGGTGTAAGGAGAAGCAGAGGAGACAGGTATGAGCGTGCAATGGATGACGGGGGTACACAGTGGACCGGTGACAGGAGGACATCAATAGTTAAAGCTTCAGTGATGTATTGCATTTTGTAGTTTTTTAAGTTGAAGTTGAAAGTGGTTTGGGGATTGCTGCGGCCCACACCCAGCGCTTTGCTCGGCTCTGTCATATTCAAGAGACGTGATGCTTTCAAACGTTATTGTCAGGCATTATCAGTCATCAGCCGCTCACCGGAGACCTCCACCTGGAGCTGAAGGGCGAGACTGGCGGAGCATGCAATCCAAGCTTTGTGAACTTATACCCTGACAAAGTCTGCTCAATTCATCTATCAGCGCATAGATTTTTGGTCTTCCATGCAGTTTAATATAGATATTCGAGCATCAGATGCACTTTTGGAAAAAGAATTGATGGTAGCTGCCATGTTTCTCTCTACATATAGGAAAAAAACAAACTTAAAATTAACATAAGCTTGTTTTTATTTGTCCCACAATGATTTACCTTTCATTTGTATTTATTATTTGTAAATATCAACCAACCTCAATTTACAATAATTAAGTTAAAGGTCCCATGTCATGGCCATTTCTACTGATCATATTTCCATTGTTGTTCTACTATAGATTTATATTGTGCAATTTTCCAAACTCACATTGGTTTCTCATACAGCATCTCTGTATAGTATGTGTATTCACTCTCTGTCCTAAACGGCTTGTTGGAGCTCCTGCCCCCCCCCCCCGATTACCACGTAATCAAGTGTACGATTGAATTTATACGATTTACAATCGTCGATTATGACCTAACTTCTCCTCTAAATCACCGAATCATCTAAATAGTATTTTCTACGTGTTTATTTGACTAGTTTTCTTTAAAGAGTAGTGTCTTGGTTTTGTGTATAAAAACATCTTGCACCGGTACTACACAAAGAGTATTAAGAGAAGTTGATGGTACGGTTTCAAGTTATTTTCGATTATCTACGTTCTTATACGAACATACCATTTTTCATTTTTAGCTTGGTAAAGGGAATTTTACCGAGCTTTTTCGATTGTTGAGCTCTTGTGTTTGTAGTCTTGGAGCATTATTTCTGTTTATGTGCCATATACACCTAGACTGTCATCAGCTCTGTCTGACGAACAGTTTTACACCTTTTTTGTGTGGGTATTTACCCCTAACTATCGTAATTTCATTCAATTTTGTCCGTCCAATAGTGTACGTATCGTTTGGCAGATCCAATGACGTTCGCAATGCAACGTCGTCGCCAATAGTAAGTACCACTTTCGTGGCTTTTCAAACTGCAATGAAACTTCGAAACGTCCTGACAATTCATTCTGACTCGTCGTCGGTCCGTCTGATCATGAAAGTAAGGTTGCAGTCCCTCCTAAATACAGCGTATTCGGGGTCGAAATAGTCTGATTACAACCCCTCTTTGGAAGAGAGTCAGTCTTTTCTCAAGGATACTCCTTTAGACTTAGTCCATCATCTAATGTTATATCCTTCGTTAAAAAAGCCTTTTTTTACCTCTATCGATCATAAAGAAATTCCATCCTGATGCATACTTCCGGCAGTACATTATTTAGGTCCGAAGGTGAGTCCTAATGATATCTACCGTGACAAAGGGAACGTCTCTTCTCCGCGAGCGGGTCTTTGTTCTTCGTGTAGTGAAGTTGTACTACAGGTACGGCACTGTTCGTCGTTGTAGAGCCACGCCAATTTAATTAGTTTTACCCCCTTTTTGTATTTATTTAGATAAATCGTCCAACTCTCACCAAGAAAGTAGGGAGGTGTACCTTGGTAATTTAGTACATAAGGGGACTCTAAACGACCTTCTCTGAGGGTACTACGGCGTCCCTTTTGACGGAGTCCTTGGACCTCTCCAGCGTGTTGTTACGAAGATATAGGTTCCATAAAACTAATCTCTACAGTGTCTTGAGAAAAAAAAGTACTACCTAGATGGATTAAATAACAACTAACCCGATCCCTGTCAACACCATTTCGTGTACGTGCCACAGTTCCCCTGGAGGCATCTAACCCACGACGTAGGGGTTAGACCGGGGGGGCTACAGAGCGCAGGGCGGTCTAGGGGTGGCGCCGTTCGTCCTTATTGGGTCGAGTGTGACAGGGGTGGGAGCTCGTTCTCGGCGCGTTGCAGGGCGGTTGTGCGGTGGAGTTCTGGGGTGCGTCGTAGAGTTTAAAACGTAATGACCACAGTAAAAGACCACATTGCGTGATTGTTTGCGTAACTTGTGTAGTAGTGACTACGAGGCGACATTGTCCACCACTAGGGAGTTAGTCTTGTCTAACCGTTCCGACTGGTTTGTCTCGTGT